TGGACAAATACGCGTCTGACCGTCTGTCTGCCCGTATGATCCAAAACCCAGCAAACAGGAGCCCATAAAAAAAAAAACAGGCACCAAATTGCAACCTAAGACTTGGGCCCAACGAGTAGCATTTTGCCCGCGCTGTCGCAACTGCAAAAAGCCCAATCCGTGCTCAAAGCGTCGAGGGAGGAACACATGTGTGCCGAACGCAAACGTCGGAAACAGGCGACCCCGAGACCGAGGAGGAGGCGGGAGGGGGGGGGAACCAGGATCTCGGGAGCGAGGGGGGGAAAAACAACGCAGATAAGAAAACGCAGGGAGAGGACCGGGGGAGGGGGGGGGGGGGGGGGCGAATTGTCGTGTGCGTACCACTCTAATTTGCGTGTGGACTACAGGATAAAATTTTACATATGGTGTGGTCTGCTTTCAACTCAAAGGCACATGCCTAATTTTTGCACGACATTTGGATTCGGCGCCGTCTTCAAGTACACACATACATACCCAACCCCCGCGCCCGTTGGTCACGCTCAATGCGGCAAGACGCTGAAGGAAGAGAAACCGGCGTATGTGACTGAATCGTCCTGCGCAAACCATCGTGTCACCGAGAGATGGTGGCGCGTGCGATGGCGACAGCTGATTGTAATCAAAGGTCGGCGGCAATGGCAAGGGTGTCGTCAAGCGGAACGGGCTGGAATCTACAGCAGTTGGTAACCTGCGTGGTTCGGTTGATTTCGATCGAGTGTACGAGCAACCAGCTGAATCCTTCTTGTACGAGCTGATGCAAGAACGTGTCGACCTAGGGTCGCTGCCCGCCAATTTAGCTCTTGACGCCCCTCTTTCGCATTGCCTCTCATCGCCGCACGCGCTCTACCTCGGTCTCGCGCGTCTGGAACGTCCAGGGTATCGCGTTGCATTCGCAGGTGATCCAGGAGTACTGCCGATGGGTGGGGGCTCCCCCAAAGGTGCGCGGGATGCTCATCCGGAAGGCGAAGGGCAACGGAGACGACCTAGGGTTCCTCTTCTGATCTTTCGAACTCGCCCTTCCTGAGAGTGTTTTTTGTTTTCGACGAGTTTTTTTTTTGTACGACACGGCGGCAGACGGTGTCGCTACAAGAGAAGATTTCAGGGGTTGGAATGAGCCCTGTGGAGTGTAAAAGGAGATGGTCTTGCGGGCGGCTCCCGCGAGGAGAAAGAGCAGGACGAGTGGTTGTAGAAAGATGGCAAGGGACGCTGGCACTGGTGTCCGCTGGAAATCTGGTCCGTGATGAACCGTGCCGAAGGTTGGAACCTTGGTGAATTGCAATTTACTGGCAGACTTGCGTGGCTGGATAGTCTCGTCTTTGCCGAACAAGCCCTATAATACATGTTTATTTCAACGGTCTGCTTGTGCACCCGCCCCGCGGATGTAAGGGTGCGCGACTTCGCTTTAGAGAGGGCAAGAGTTGATTGCGTAGGTCGTGGGTGCTTCGTAGATCTCTCTTTCGGGGATGTTGCATCGTACATGTAGCAGAGGGGTTTGTAGTGTGGACAGAACTGAATCCCCTACAACGGGGCTTGAGAATAGGGCTAGATATTTGGCGGCAGCAGCAATGGTTCCGCTGAAGTGTCAAACGTAACTAGCAGAGCTTCCTGCAGTACTTACTCGTCGTGAGGCGACACCCAGCTCATGTCAGCACATATTTGATTTGTCACGGGTCAGGTCAAGTAATGACCTTGCATCTTTCGACATCTTAATCATACGAGTCAAGTCGGGTCCATGACCCATGCTGGATGGCACGCGTCAGGTTTGGTCAGAGGCCATCAGCCGTGAAGATCGGGTCTGGTCACAGGTCAGTCAGATTGACACGTAGAGCGACCTGCTGTTCACGACTCGTGCGGTTTGCGGAATGAACCGGAAGGTCGTGCCAAGCGACCATCTTGAAAACCTGGAGTGCGAGGCAGCACCTGTGCTTTAGCAGCGCACATTAGTTGGAATCCAACACAGCAAGAACGAGATCCCCCGCCTGAGGACTTCGGGCTTGGCATGTCAAAAAGCGATGCCGCGCCAGGCAGTGCACCAGCCGTATCACACGTCATGTATCCAGCTTTGAATCGGAGCACGAGAAAACAAACAGTAAGGAATCGTAACTTGATTGCGTTGCACATATACCATCCATGTGTGGCGGAGCCTCTACAAGAACAAAATGATTAAAACAAAAACAAAAAAAAACAAAAAAAAACAAAAAAACATGGAAACCCTTCCAACCTCCAAGTCTTCCCCAAACCACAGCCCATGCAGCAATTAGGAGCACGTGCCTTGCGTTGACTTGTCTCGAGACAGACCACCAGCAACACTGTTTTCACCTCCAACCTACTTCAAGTTCACTCCGCTTCCATGAGCACACCAAGCGTCCATCGAAGCGCCGGAGGCAGATGATGGGAATAGTGGCACACTGCTGTGCTGCGGTCATGTTCTCTCGGGAAACAAATCGCTGGTACGGAGGGGGCCCGTCAAATGGTGTACGTACACAAACAGACAGAAACACACCCGATTACCTCTACTGTCGGTTATTCGTACTTCAGTGGGTGGAGCGAAAGAGCGTACACGTCGTGGGACTAAGTCTACCCCGTGTAAAACTAAAACAAAGGCAGGAAATACTCCGGGTCATGACCAAAGTTACATCCCGATCCATTCTAATACCCATGGGCGAACAGAAAAAATCAAGTGTTATCGCGGAAAAAAACTGCCAAAATATCCATACAACAATCCGTTCCTCCGATATCGACGGCCTCACGCACCAACTCGCGGCCGATCATGCGTGGGGTACTAAATACAAGACACCAAGCTGTAAGATCTATGTTCGCGGACGCAAAATGCTCGACCTGTGCTCACAAGACGCCACGAGGTACCACACAAACAGACTGAACGGTTCACCACCCTGCCCCACCTCCGCAAATAAATGACCAACGGACGAACCGCCCACTGCGAACAGTGGGCATCACGCTTACGGGGACAACGACGTATTGACTATGTGCTCAACCCAAGAAGCAAGAGGAGATACTCTCGACAACAATAACTGACCACCGCGTGTCACCAATCAATTACAACCTTTTAGTTGCCGCGGTCGTAACAAAAGCAAACCCCGTTCTGACCCCTTATCCGCTAAATCCTCTTGCACTCGTCTCAAGGCAGAGAAACGGGTTTCGGTGAACGGTCACAGGCCAGCCAACAAGTACACAATACCAAAAAAACTAAAAAAATAACCGGAGTACCACTAAATCCCGAAAAACAAAATCTGATACACTCTTCACTACCGGAGTTCCAGAAAGACCAAATGAAGGATAGGATAGGCACAAAGTCCCAACATAGAAGAACCACAAGACCTACCTGCGGCGTGAGCTAGATGAAAGCACACGAGGAGGAGTGGGTCGACTCGTGCACGTCTGTACCCATTGGTGCCTGCAGACTCTTGGGGCTGTTATTCAACATGCAAAGTTAGAAACAAGAAGGAGGCATTCTGGTGCGTGCCGAACGCTTAGTACCCTCCTCAACGCGTTTCCCCCCAACGCTTTGTGGGGAGACTTCAAGAATGGGTAACCTTCCCCTCGTGTCCACAGCAGGTACCAACGCAGACGTCGGTTCTCGACAACAGCCAGAAATTACGCGCGCCATGTGACACAGTCGCCTACAGCAGACGAGTCGAGTCGTCAGAAGCGGTGACCAATCAACCTCGCACGCGAAAGCGACGACCATACCCCAACAGGAAACGCCAGTGAGCAGGTATTCTTGGCATTTACATACAAAGACCTGCCGGCCGCCCTCCCGCAACATCGACCAAAATTATGTACCATACGAAAGAGCGAACAAAAAATGAGTAAATAAACGTGTGTTTTCTGCCCCCAACCTTCCTACTTGGAATTCGTCCGCCGATGGCTTTCCTTGCCACCACTCCGCACAACTAATGGTGGCGGGGCCTCTCGCCCCGAGCGCACCCAGGCCGCCGCTCCGCCGCCCCCGTAGCCGGCCCAAGAAGAGAGGTGGTTCGGCATGCCGGCGTCCGCGGACGACCCTCTCGAGTGCCTGCTGCCGGCGGCGCCCGAGTTCTTAACGTCCCCGTCCAGCGGCCACCCCGCCTCGTGATCTTCCCCGGACGACATGTCCGTCTCCATGGACGCGAGCGACGTTCGCCGCTCGCCCCCCCCGCCGCTGCTGCCGCTGCGCTTCACGCCGTGCGGCAAGGGGTTGCGCTTCATCCTCGAGCCCTTGCCGGCGAAGACCGGGTTGACCACGTACGAGCGCTCCGACGCCAGCGGCGCCGGGACCGGCTGGGTCATTGGGGGCAGGGTCATGACCCGCGTCACGGCCGCCTCGTCGCCGAGGTCTTCCTCCACGTCGTCCTGCCGCGCGCGGTCCGGGCCGGGGCCGAACCCGAACCGGGACAGGAGACGGTCGCGCTGGACGCACAGCGCGGCGTACGCTGGGGGGGGGGAGGGGGGAAATCGAGAGAGGGGGAGCGTGCTTGGTTGGCGATGAAGGACGGTGCGTGTATTTGTGTTTGGAATCACGTAGTCGCGTGGTTCGTTGATGAAAGAAAATGACAATACACGATGGCCCCTCGAAAAACTTAACAACTTGGAAAACCTCCGTTGGCTTTAATTTGGTAGGTCGAGACAAAGTTGTTCGGCTGCTGTGCCGACACCTATATTTTGATATTTGAACGTCGTCGTCCGTACATGAACTGAACATGCAATGTAAGAAGATTTATGTACAAGCGTTATGTATTGCCATGTCGATCCCAGCACAAGCACAGAGTGTTAAGCCGAATTGAACGCACCACCCCCCAGGCCCGGTTGTCAACGCCTGATTGCCCCACAATCAATCGGGAAGGGTACCGAAAAAAGGTATTGGACAGATTTCGCCTAGAACTTTTTTCCTTCAACATATCGATCGGCGTTTCGCGACCTCTTGCTGGTGTAAAACATGGAAAGGGAGGTGCGTTCTTCGATAGCTGTACCGCCATCGGTCACAAGTCATCGCACGTGGTTCGCACAACAAGAGTGGGCACCGTTCGTGGTAAAATAACAGCAGCTGACATCGCGACATCACAATCTCTGTGGAGTCACAGGAACGGCAGAGTCAACAAAACAAACCTCGAGCAAATACGCACAACACTCGGCTTGGTGGACGCTCAATATCCCAAGGAAGGTGCATACCCCCTAGGCCGCAAGGGTGCGCCTGCGACGTGCAACAGCACGCCGGTGCGGCCAAGAGGGGCGCGCAAGTCACACCGCAAAGTCACGCCGCGGACAACATGCAACCCCTTTTCGATCCTCGGGGAGAATCAACCAATATATGCTTCATCGCGCCACAACGGAGAAAACAACACCGCCTGCCACCACCACAAACAAGCGAAAAAATATATCCGGTGCTCACCGAACGCCAAAGCGACAACAACGAGCGAAGCGACCACGGCCGATAATGCGTTGTTCAGCCCCTCAGCGTCGAACACCTCGTAACAGGCCTCGTGCTCGGAGTCCGCTGACACCCAAGCCACCTGTTCGACCACCCAAGCCAACAGGAAGGCGAGCAAAACCCACGCGTGCTTCGCCTGCGAAGCGTACGCAGTGAGCGGGAACGGGTGTCAGCGGGAGAGGGGAGTAGCCAAGAGGAGGGAGGGAGCGTAGCAGAATCACGGCTCGAGCGGCATCACCATGAGCGTAACAGGTCGAAAAAACGGTTGTTCTCTGAAACACCCGTGAACAACGGGCACCAAAACCACGCACTCGTGACCGGAGAATAACCGCAGATCGTGCCACTGACGGCACCCCGGCAAGGTATCGAACAAGGATCCCAGGCACCAAGCTCGACGCGACCATCGTCTTCCCCCGCAACACATACGCCGAGGAATGCACGGCAGCCGTATAATGGTTGTCGTGTCATCATCCAAAAACTCGAGTCTCTTAGAACGAATCTTGGGGTGGAAGGCGGTGATAGGGTGATAGCCACCCTCACCAGAAAATACAGCCTGTCATGTCCTCTCCCGCCCTGGCCTCACCTCCACCGTGCACTGGTTAACAACTAAATCCGCCAGGAGCACTCCCAGCCCGATCGAGCTTACTACGGCACGCCCTTGCCCCTCATCGTCTCGAGCGTATTCGAGCCTGCATGAAGAAAACACGCAGAGAACACAGAGTATAAAAAGCGGCGTAAGGCCGCATGAGATAGCCGTTCAGAGCAACGGCGGCAGTGGCGAAGAAAGGTCTTCAAAGAATCGCATGGACGAACAAACATGCTTGAGCAAGTGGCAGCCCAAAAGCAGCAGAGAGAGGTCGGGCTGAGAGTGGCGCACTTGATGCTAACGTCGAAGCTTAACCCAGCAGGAATGTATCAATACTCTCGAGCCAGTCCTTCTCCTCAGATAGTACCGGATCAAACAGTGGCAAAGGGTTACCACGAGGGCGCCGCCACTGAAGGGTTGTCAATGTGCCGCTCTTTGCTGTGAGGTAGTTCCGTCATCCAGTTCAGGGACAATCTGCATTTGGTGCTGTACTAAAGTAGTTTTGTTTTTTCGGCTTGAGGTTCCGCATCTCTTGCCTCATCACGTTCGACTTTGTTTCACTAAGCGATGGGCACTGCTTCATACGTGAGACCCACCCAACGCTAGCACGTACGTACTCTTCAGTGGTGACGCATGTGTAACCTGACGTTCATTCATTGGTCTGGCGGCTAGCGCGGCCGACGCCAATTCAAGTAACACATATGTATGCATACACAAAAAAACTACAGAGTCGTAGGTGTGAGAATCGCCACACACGGAGGTGTGGGGCGGCTGTAAATAGCGACACGGTTCTAACAACTGCATGCCAATTGGAGCAAAGGGCCCTCCGTGTGGAAGCGAAGGAAAACACCCGCAAGCCGGCCGCCAACTTGTGTAGGGAAAGGGGCGGTCTTAGTTGCCACCGACGGGAATGACGTACAAGTAAACTCTCCGGGGTATCCACGAGGTGTAGTAGCCAAGCGGTCTCCCAGAGTGCACACGCGGATGCACTGCTCCAGACCTGGATAAGGCCTATCGAGAGTGGGGTGTGTGCGTCTTTCGTACATCAGGTACTTAGGAATTAGTGTGGCTATTACAACCCTACCAGGGCGCCGGACTTCGGGTGCCACAGGTGCCTTCGTCCTCATGCTTCTTGTAAGCTGGGAACATCCACTCTCAAGTCGATGATGTTGATGATCAAAGGTGGTGAGTTGAGGATGCGCGAGTCACACATGCATACCAAGGGCGCGAAGCTGGAAAAGAGGTTCGACTGCATGACGGAATTCGAACGCCATACTACAGGAACCTATACACCTCCGACTTCTAGGGTTTTAGAGTGATTTACGAAAGCCCTTATTTTCTTAGAAAATAGGTACATGTAACACTCAATCACCACGAGGCCGGGTGTTAACGAAGTGCCGAACATCAAAACCAAGGGCGCAATATCAAAATCAAACATCGTTGTGCTGAAAAAATTGAAGCAAAAGGGGCCGTACATGTTAACGGGGATATGCATAGAAGAACGGTCGGGCGAGGAGTCAGAAACAGGCCTTACGCCAGGGGCCTGCAGCAAGCGGTGTGTTTCCAGATTAGTTTTGTGCTCTGATGTTTTCACATGTCCATGCATATTTCGCCCAACAAGGAATGAGGTGCCCAAAGAACGGCATCAGGAAGAGGCGTGCCGAGGACTGCTGTTAGATAATGCCAAGGTGTTGGCGCCGTGAGGTGCTGACTGCAGCCTGAAAAATTTTTGTGTCGAGCCAAAAAAGTCAACGAGCGGTCGGTTCACATTCTTTTTAATGCCGCGGGTTTGGTTTCCGGTAACTTTTCGGAGGAGGAAATAACAGCAAAACAGCAATGCCACTCCGCGGGGGTTACATAGCTCACTGCTCCATCGTTCATTCCCAAGGTTGGTACCATATGGGATATCGTGCGTGTCGGGGGAAAAGACAAAAAGACTGTGTTGACCTTAAAAAACACAACGCCAGAGAGAGAGAGAGATTGGTTCCGGTTCGGGGGGGTTGTCTGCCTACGGTTTGGTTTTCCAGCATAAACGAGGAAGCAACAGCAGTACCAATGCCACTCCAAGGGAGGTAGCTCACACGTCCATTTTTTGTACTTCTTTGACAACAAGGTGTGATGCCTTCGGGTATCGTGAGTGTCGAGAAAAATGGTTGCAACTACCCCCTCCAGCACGGAAAAGCCCGAACCACCACGTCAACCTTTCATGACCACCAGTCGCAACCTTGCGACGATCGACGATCGGCGTTTTCTCATCAAGAACCGAACACGTGAGCATCAACAGGCGTCGCCAGGAGATATATGTTCGCCGACCAATGAGGGATCGATATTGATGTTGATGTATTTTCGATTTTGATTGCTGGCACTTCGTTGAGGCGGCCTGCAAGATTAGCTCTTCGAGACGAATATAATAACACAGCAGGAGCAGTAGATTGAAGGGAATGTATTGAAAGGTTCGATAGCAGCTACTGCTGTTAAAACGTACTTACTGCATACAAACGTTTTTTTTATAGCAGTCAACAATTCGGAGTGTACGGGTTCGACATCGAACACTAAGTCCAATACTTGCAGCAACATGCCTCCTTGAAACGTGCCTACGCTGGTATCATAGTCCATTTCGGTCCGGGGGGAGGGCGGGGCGGGTTGTGCCAAATGACAGAGTGAGTGTCTTGTGATGACACCAAAGACATACCAAAGACATACCATACATTGTATGCATTGTATCATACAAGACATCCAATATTCCACCTGGAGTTTCCATGTCTGCCGAAACGTGGTATGTGATGACAATTACACGTTGACCCAGTAGAGAACTACAGGGGTTGTATTGTAAAAATGTAGGTTACCTATACAGATGTTTCTTGTACTTATGATAGCACCAGCTGGCATCACAGATATAAATCATCAGTGCATAGACTTAAAAAGACTCGAAAATAGGTCCAGTACCCAGCCGGTTTCCCCCCCCACTCACTGAAAAGACTCCACTACATCCCGTTCGACTGCTGTGGGTATATCTCGAATGGGTAGGTCTTTCTGGGCGTGTATTTATTTTTTCCTTAATTTACACCTGTACACCTCGCTCACCAAGTGATAATTACGGCGATGGTCTGGAAGACCACCGAGATCTCCAGCACCAATAAAGCAAACGAGCTCGCCAAGCTGCTGTTCGCCGACTCTGGCGCGGGGTTCCAACGAGCGAGATGTGCATATCGGAGACATGCTGCGACGGCCACCTGCAAGTAGGAACAATAATGGCAGAGCCCCAAATATCAGGAGCAGATTCATGGGGGGTTTGTCACTGAGGTAGCTATGCATTCGTACAGCAGTACCATAGATCAGACAGACCGGTGAGGCAGATCAACCAAGCTACAGTATGGCGAAGTTTGATGCAGATGCAGATACATATGTATACATGAATACCCGCCGTGTTGACAAGGGCAGCAAAACCCTCCCTTTTTGTTCCTCCGTTTTTTTCCCACTCCTCACGCCGAAACCGCGCTCTGGTGGTCACGTCGGAGTCGGCAGAGCACGCGCCACTGCTGCTGTATGTGGGTACCGCAACAGACTTATTGTACGAGACGTAGACTAATGGTCGAAAGGGTGAAGTTTGACCAGAGTCAAAGCTGGCACCAACGAGAATGAACCACAGATGGAAGCCATTCGCAAGGACCCTTGGTTCAGGGTCGGGCCACAAGGGGCGAGAGTTGATGGTCGGGATTCGGTACGCAACGCGCCAGTTTCTTTGTGTGTTTCGTTATCAACCCACCACGACCATTCGGATCTTCATCAGGAACGAATATTATAGTATTTTATGTTCGTGTGTACGAAGTTGCCTGTTCTGTTAGGAAGAAGTTGCTGGAAGGTACATCGAAACCGCACACTCACGCAGACGGCAATCAGTCCTCTCGCAACTAGGTCGTGTTCAACATGATATGCTATTCTATTTGCGTAGTCCACAGGCTAAATAACTTTTCTCGAACCCAACAACGCCGTGGGTAACAATGGAATTTTGATTACTTGCCACGAATCACAAAATCGACCAACTCACGACGAAGTACAGGATTGCCGCAACGAAGCTCCAGTCCGGCAGGCACAGCGGCTTGTCGCGGGTCCTCCAGGTCAGCCAGGTCCCAGCGACCACGAGAACGAGGAGCACCCCAACGCGAAAGACCAGAAGTGATCTCGCGGACACTACCCGCGAAGTTGCGACCGTATCAAGCGTTCTCACTCTGCAGCACCCGCAGCAGAATTTTTTCCTGCCGCCGGCCCCGTAGGCAGCGGAGGCGGCGGCGGCGGCATGTTGTTGCGTGTCGCCCTTGTTGTTTGTCTTCACAAATCCTCCCATGCTCTCTCTCTTCCTCTTGCAGGATGTCGACAGAGGGGCCACCCCTCCAATCCCAAGCGGAGGCTACTTCCACCACCGCTCTTGCTGAGAGACCGCCAGGCGAACCTGCTGTATCTCAACTACCTGCCACCTGCTAACTCTGTTCAATAAAACAGAGAGTCGAGAGATGTTCCAGGTTCCATGTCCTGCTAACAGGTTTGAGGTGGTGGGACGGGGATCGGGGACACGAAAGGGGACAAACATCGAAAATATTTGAATATGTCCCTACGAAAGAAAAACAGTGAGATTGGTGCTGAAACCCAGATCTCCGCAGCACAGCACTGAGGGGCTGGCTCCTCCTGTGCTGTCCGTCGGTGCTCGTTGCTACACGTCTCGCTCGCTCGCTCTCTTGACGATACGGCTACCAGGAACTAAAGGCAGCACACGTTAAAGGTGGGGGAATGGGAAACTGCGATTTCTTGTCGATGCTGCGGTCTTCGTGAGGAAATGAGCAGAGGGTATTTTATGGTGTCGATCCGTCCTCTTTGGACATGTTGAGCGGATGGCCACAGGGCGGAGAGAGGACAAAGCAGGCTTGTAGCAGGCGCAGCTTTACAGTTTCGGCCACGCGAGTGCCTTTGCGCGCTTGAATCAGAGCGGGGGAGAAGGAAATCTTGCGAAGCAACTTTACCACGTCTCTCTCTCCTTGTGCTCTGGAACCTTTTTTCTCCGTGTGGCTTCAGTTGCGCGAACCTGCTGCAGCACCACCATGACGAAGGAGGACAAGGCAAAGTCGCCCAAGAGGCAAAAGACATCGAAGGATATCAAAATCAAGGAGGGGGAGACCGACGCGGTGCCGTACGCGGTCCGGATGAAGGCCGTCACAGTTATCTCCAAGCCCATGGCAGACGAGAAGAAGGTGTGAGAGCTGCAGCAGCAGCTGCGGCGATGACCCTGCTGCTCCTCGATGTATCCTCACATGTACGGCAGGTTGTGTTGCCCTCACCTTGTGTTGTGGGGTCGTCGTGGTGTAACGGCCGGCGGCACCGACGACGGAGAGCGGAGACGCCCATCGTAGAAAAAAAGATGCTCCCCACTTTTGCTGGCGCACCAGGCGTCTCTGATTGTTCGTCTCAGCCGAGAATTGTTCGCTGTTGTATATCGACCTCAGCAGTAGCTAGCGCACCCAGCCCGGTCGAGACGAAAAGGAACGAGCGTCGTTGACGGGACCAACAAGATGGGTGGATTCGTTTTGTGCGCTGGCAGAGCCGCAAATCTCGCACATATCGCGAGTGTGAACTCGGTACGACGTTTGAAGCATCAGTGTCCGCTCATGAATTTCTTATGTTTGGCCTTTGACGAACACCGCTTAAAAGTACTGCGTTTGTGTGGGCATCGCCGTCGTCTCTGCACTACCGTTGCAGACGAAGAAGTTCTACAAACTAATCAAGAAGGCTGCCAAGGAGAAGATCTGCCGGAGAGGGGTGAAGGAGGTGAGCGAAGCACGCCAAATCTTTCGTACTGCATAGAAAGCATCGCGTAGGGCCCGCTGCCGCCTCCACAGCCAGGCCTTGCGAAAAGAGCCTCGGTCGATATTTAAAATTTTTCTTTTCGATGATGGTCATCTCCGTGTCAAGCGCAGGATGTACAAGGATATCATACAGCCCCGGAAATCGATGGAGAAGGGAGAATCTATGAACGTGAAACGTGCACCTTGGGACGTAGCCTCTCAGCTGCACCCGCTTACGACTGTCCTGTGTTGTTCTTCTTTACCGCGATGCGCGCGGCGCGGCAAACTGTCCCGGCCAAGCCGAGAACATATATGGACCTGGAGAACGTACGTGGGCATTTAAGGCACGCTCATCGTTCCGCCGGCTGACACAACATTCGTGTGTTCGAAATGGAAGTGCTGCTGCATGTGCTGTTGCTTGGTCTATTTTGTTGGAGGGTTCTTGATTTTGGTGCCATCTTTACAGCCGCCGACCCACATGACTGGTTAGGCAGCACCCACCGGCCGCGGGCCGTCGTGGATTGTGTCTGTTCCGCGACCCACGATGGTGGGTCTGGCGAATCAATTCTACTGCTGTTGAGTGTGCATACCGTCCACCTTTGCTAACTACTGTACCATGGCGTTCCATGGTTGCTTGGGACCTCCCAGGTGTGCAAGGGGATGCGGCAAGGGAGGAAAGGCATCTGCGTCATCGCGGGAGACATCTCCCCGATCGACGTGATTTCGCACATGGCGTACTACTGCGAAGAGCAGGGGGTGAACTACATGTGAGAGCTACCCACGACGCGCAGCAATATTTCGTGACAATGAGCGTCGGGCCACGCAACAAGATGCAGCGGTGCTTCAAGAGGATATATATTTACGGTATTTCTAGCTCCCAAGGCCTTGTTTGTAAACAAGGATGTTGATTTTCTGGTGTACACGCCTAGCCCCTATGGCTACCCCCTCCTGTGTGACCCTGGATCGTTGTAGTTGTACGAAAAATACACTGAAAAGTGTAGTACTCTACATACACTGAAATGTATACATAGTACACGTCTCATCACGAAAAATGGGAGGACTGTCGCCATAACATATAGGACGAAAACACACAACACACACGCCTTGTGCACCGTACAATCGTAGATCCCACATTTCTTCATTTTTTCACAAGAGGCAAGTACGTTCCAAGGGACACACAGCAGCAGCTTTATGGAATAAACACCTGCCCGTGAAGGCCTACGTTCAAACGTTGTACTGTTTGGGTTGTCAGACGCCTTCCTGACAATCTCCTCTCGCTTTTGATGACGCTGATACCCCAGTCAGTGATTCTGTTTCCCCACTTCCCTTCCGCGGAAGTGGGCAGTTCAAGTTCTGCTGAAGGGAATGGTTTCTGAGATAGTTAACCATCTCTTGGTTTGCTTCTGTTTTCGTGCATCTCACGGAACGTTCCGCGGAAAAGTTACGTACCGTCCAAGGTGGACCTCGGCGCGGCAGCGAAGACGAAGCGCCCGACGTCGTGCGTGCTCATCACGCCGCCTAGGGAGACGAAGGACAGTGTGTGGGACCCCGTTACGAAGGAGCTATTCGCGGACCTGAAGGAAGTATGTATACAGGAGATGGTACAAGTCCCCACGTGAGTAAGGTGTTGGTGTTTTTTTATGGACCTTTTCACTAGTACCCATGCTGACCGTCTCCCCGGTGCATATTCCAGCACCAATCACCCAGTCGGGACGAAACTGTTTCTGTTTGTCACAGGTTGACCCTCAGCATATTGTACCAGAGTAGTGATGGTTTTTTGTTTTGAATCGGAGGAGGTTGGCTTGCCCACCGTTGTAGATATTGAGAAAATATTTTGGGAGCAACGTTAGACCGCCGAGCTACAGTATCAAGACCAAGCGCCCGCCTCTTGTAGTTCGTACTTCGTCTTCGTATGAAGTTGCAGTAGCTTTTAGGTTCAAATGGTCCTGAGCCGAACAACACTTTTCTATCGAGGTGCAGGATTGTTGTGCATAGTACATAGCCACTCTCCGCTTCCTGAGTGTGCGTCTACTCTGGCGGTGCAGGCATCACGTGCAAGAAAGCGAGATTTTGGACAGTGCAAACCGGTATTGACCACCGCCGCAGCGTCGTTGTTCTTGCTGGTCTTGAATTTCGGTTTGTGCGCAGTGCATGTGCGTTGTGCAAAAAAAATGTTGTGGGAGTTGACACACTCACACGGCTATGGCAATTCGATCTATTGTACCACAGCAGTGATTCCACATCGATTCCGCGTGCCTGCTTTGATAAGAGATATCTAGATGGCCTCTGCTGGGACGCACCACGGTGCGCAGCGGGTAGAATTGCGTGCAGTTCCACGCTGGCGATCCTCGCTATCTTGTCCCTGTTGTTTTTCTTGTTTTGATTCATCGGTCAGCTCTACGAGGCAATACTGTTGCTAGTGGCCCCTGTCCCAAGCATCCTCCACTCTACCGAACGTGAACGCCGACTTGTGCTTTTCCCTGAGCACCCCCGCCCGTCCTTCGTCCGTGATACTTTTCTGAAGTTTTTGTGCGAAAAGGCTGCAATGTTGGCATCGTTTGCACACACGTTTGTTCTTGACCCGCCCACACACACTTGGCTCATGTTCGGAATCCACCCCCGCAATTGAACCTGATATCACGCACATCTCCGTTTCGTCCGATGCCCTGCACTGCAGAAATAAGTGAGCGCAGCACGGCGCAAGGCTGTGAGGTGGAGAGGCGTATTGTTGTGGCGGAGAGGGAATGCTGTGAATTTTCCAGCGACGGAGCCTGAAGGAAAGTCGTGGACAGGGGGTGCTGATCTCCTCATCTAGCACGTGTTGAGCACTCGTTTCGGATACAATATGCTTTTTTCAACGTCCGACCAAACCTCAAGCGGATGAGTGCAAGAGCTTGGACAGGAAGGTTCGCCTTCCGAACTGGCATGGTATTTTTGTACGCGGGGGCTGTAGCTGATGCGCCGTGAGCACCACCACGCTCCGAGGCGGTGGCGTGTTAAGTCGGAGCCAGCTCTTAAGTTGTAAGAGGGTGTAGTGGTCGTGCTTTCTTGGCGGCCGCTTGCTGCTGCACACGTGTAAGTACGCTGTGTTTTCTTTATCGACGGCGGTTCCCCCGCCCCTGGGTGATTTTCCGCAGCTGGTTTTTGGATGGCATGCCATTTCAGGTCAGGTTATTCGACATGATGGCATCTCTCGCAAGTATTGCCCCTCACTTGAGGGGGGTACGGGCTCCCTCTACGAAAGTTATCTACCGTTGATTTCCAAGTGTACGATATATGTTGTCTTTAACGCGCAAGAGTGATATACCGGACACCCAGGGCTGTCTTTGCTCCCATCTGTGTCGCCTTGTGCGCTGCAGGTGGGAACTCGCTCAATAATCATGCCTACAATATATGTAATTTCCACAGAAGTAGCAACCCACACACGCATGGTTGCGTATTGTTGCGCTCGGCACTGCTGTAGAACCTACTGCTGTATGGCGTGTGGAGTCTCGCCTGAAGTTAACGACGGGCATGGAACTCTTAAATGCAATGCTCCGTTGCCGCAGACAGCAGGTTTGCAATAAGCAAATGAAGAGAGGGCGCAAAGAGCAACCTTCTCGATCGTCTTCTTCACAATATATACGCGATTCGCCCACAGCCGTGGGCAGTCTCATGTCCAACAACTGTAAGTCCTACCGAAGGAGCAGAAAAGCACTCCACCTTTGAAACCGAAAACCTATGTACATGCCGACCAAGAGCATTGTACAGCAGTTTTCTGCGTGCGAGCGCGCACACCAAGCTAAGACAGTGCACGTGCACACCATTATTACCTGGGAAGAGCAGAGCACGGCAGGTTGTACGAGCTTTCTCGTGAATTTGTACAGCAACGGCGGTCGTACTGCAGTCAGCTTTGTACGCTCAAACCCCACATGTGCAGACTGCTTTCGTCCATCTCCCCCTCCCGTTTCTTGCGACGCGTGCGAAGGGTGGAGGTAGCGGAGAATGCTACAAAACAGAAACATGTTCGCCACTTCCGACGGTGCACGCACGAATAAAAGGTAAAACGATGCCTACCTCTGACGACAGGTTTCTTTCGGACAATCAACATCATTGTTGTAGCACTCTTAGAAAAGTCCCAACAATAGAGTTGCGTGTTGCTTTTCGAGCCTCCCCCCCCCAGCCAACCAGGCCCTCCGGCGGTCCCTGCTAGGTGTGCAAGAAATACTTCTTCGTGCAACCCGGCTGACACGTCAAACAAATGCACGAGAGGTGTGTAGACTGGTGCCAGAACTAGAACAAACGGGACAAACACACACACACACACCTCGCCACTTCCTAGGAAGTGCATCAGTCCCAGTCGTAGACCCCGACACAGGTTTGCGGGCTCAAGAATAGGCTACGTACTAGGGAGAGGCATATCCCCAGCAACAAAACAAAACCAAAACCTCCCCACAGCTGTCGTTCGTTGGGGTGGGGTGAATAAATCGAAGCCCCCCCGCAGCTGTCGTTCCAAGCGGGCGTCGATGAGTAAACTGCAACCCCCGTGCAGCTGTCGCCCGTCAGGGGGTGCTGAATAAAACAGTGCTATCTGGCAACGTTTTCTCGGTCCTTGCCGGTGCCATCGGCGGACGTCTGGAGGCTCCGGTAGAACAAGCGCAAGTTGAGCTGCTTGTAGAGGAACGTGCGTACCCTCCGCTTGGACGACATTTGTCGCTGCACCTATTTGGTGCACCAGAGCGCATAGAATGAGGAGGCACCCGGTCCAGGCCAGAACGGTTGAGCTATGCATGCACAGGCAACAGTAGCACCAGCAACAACAGCAGCAGCAACAACCACAGAAGAAGCAACAGCAACAAGCGCTTTGGAGACAGGGGGCGGAATCTTCGGGCACCGCAAAAGGCAGCAAGGAAGAAAGAACTCGTGCTGGCAAAGGTGACCTTGCCCGTGACAGAAGCCACACTCCTCCGCTTGACTGCCTGTACCAAGCCTACTGAATATTGCTTACCTACACAAGCCGAACAACAAGTAATTTTTCACGCTCCAACTTCGAAAGCATCATTATTGTGGTCGAAAAAAAACCAGCTGACGGTACAAGGGTGCGTGGATGACCAAGGTACCTAGGTGGCCGCGGGAATGCTTCCACGACCCCTAAGAAACCAAACGGCGATCGACAATACCCTCAGGTGCACGGGATTCGACCCACCTCCAGAGGCGTGGTGTTCCGTTTGCTGGCCAGTAGCCAGGCCATAACAATCGCGGAGCTCCTGGCATCATAGCGCACAGCATAGGGCGGCGGCAACGGCGATGGTTTCTGTCTCGGAGAATGGAGTAGCCACAAGGCATAGGGCGTCGTGGCGGCCCCCGGGGTGCGGATCGGATTTTAAGGCAACACTGGCCAACCTCACCAGCTAAAAGCGGCGCCTTGAACGACAAAAAGCAGAGTCTCAAACCTCCATCAATACACGCCGCTCATCAGCAACGCTTGGTGCAGAACTCGAGACAAGTGAAACAGAAAGGGTTTTCGTTTTCCCTTAAGAAACAACGCCGAGGCCGCCTCGATTTGAAGCCTAGCGAGGCCCGGGTTTTGTTTATCTCCAGTACTGATAAGCCTCCCATCACTCCCACCTTCCGTGCCCAGCCTTGCAGTGAACCAGAACCTTGCCTCCCTTGCTGTTCCACTTCTGGATGAAGGCAACCCCGCGGTCGTAGTCCGCCAGTTCGGGTTCCTCATGGTCCTTGCCATACATAAACGGGGGCGGGGGTGAATGTGAGCATGATAGTTAATGCCAAGTGCGGCATCAGCCATAGGACGGTACACACATGTGACTGCTTGATGTACACATTTACAGAAAATTGGTAGGTAGGGCATTGAGGGCTCTAGTGTCACGAAATACGAACAGCTCAAACCCCACCCACACTAGTGCAAAACTTAATTATTCCAGTTGGTTTCGCCACCGATCATACAGGCAGCGAGGGTAGCATAAAATGCAAGTGCATGGCGCGTTCTGTACGAAAAAGAGCATCGTACTCGTGGAGTACACGGCGAGTACATGACCACTCTGCTGAACGGCCACACGGAGGGCGGCACGCACGATCTTCTCTCACCACGGTGGGTAGCCAGAGCTGCTCAATTCCCAGCCGCGCGTAGTCCTCCAGCGGCCCTCTGTACTCGCCGCACATGTTGATCACTCCCACGACGCCCTTCGCGTGTAGAGCGTCGGCATGCCCAAGGAAACCAACCGGTGCTGCGCCCAGGTACACCGTGTCTGCAAATTAGACAGCGCCGTCAGAGAGCGTTAAGCGAACGGGGACCGGGGTCAGCTAAGTCAACCGGGATTGTCACCAAGCAGGTTGATCTTGGGCAATATGGCAACTCGGCCACATCGGAAACCATCCGATTTCCAGTGCTTTGGGGTGGGGGGTGACGAACCGTTTGTCGAAGGGTGAAATGAGTTGGTTTTCCCTTAGGCAACAGCTAGGGCCTCTGCTCCAAACAGTGCAAACACATACATAGATTTGTGTGTAGCCGTACAGCGGCGCACAGGCAGACAAATCACCTACACCCCTCACAGAGAAAAGCGAAGGAACACGCGCTCGCGAAAAATGGTTAGGTTCGTCACACGTTCGTCACACGTTCGTCCGTCTGCAACCGAAAAAGGTAATACAACAGCAGCGGATCACAGGTTTGGACTGGGCCGCAAACAAAGAAACGCGCCTTCTCTTCCTCTCACCATCCATCTTGGTCCAGTAGTTATCGAACGCCCTGATCATGGTAAATGGCAGCGTCGGCCAAAAGTATATCTTCGACACCCACGGGCCCCACGACTTCGGCAGGAGGCGAAGCTGAAACAGCCCGAATATTCCTCCCGCCGCAAGAGCCGCTCCGAGGATTAGCGCCTTCGAGGTTAGCGGGCTTCCCGGTGGGCCGCCGTGCGGCGAGATTGGTTCGGGTTTCCCATAGAAACGGTCGCCACCTTATCGCGGGAAAAGGCAGCGGGGTAGCATTCAGCCAGGACAGTCACGACGGTTGTCTCCTCTCGTCGGTGGCAAAATGGAATGTTTGTTCGGTGGGCGAGAAAAGTGCGATTCTACACTCGTGACATGTTACCCTTCGAGACATCTCGTTGGCACTCCTGGTGCTAGCTTCTCGAGAGATCAGCAAATAAGGCGGTGTTCCGCAAGGCAGTGTTCCACCTTAGGTACACTGGCGATAGAGCGCGACGCCAACACGACGACAAGTTTTGTACCACGAGAGTTAATACTGCTGCAGCACCTGCCTGTGTGCTGGCGGTCTGCTTGTGCCATATCTTGCGGTTTCACTTTCCGTTGGTGTAGTTTATGTGCCTATGATTAATTCTACCATAGGCATCGACCGCCACAATTCTCGTACAATCAAGAGATGTTAGTCAGTCATCAGTGGCACACGAAAAGGTCCAGAACAGTTTATTAATCGCAGGTTCTGCCACAGAGCCCCAGGCTGGGAGGGGGGAGGGGTTGATTTGAAGCGACGGGAGGTTTGATTTCACGTTGATAGTCACCTAACCGATGTTTGAACCCAGGTTCCTCACACCGGATGTGTCACACACCGTGGCCGACCCAACCCAACCCAACCCTGACCCTCACCCACCGCTAACGCACGGCCTAGCGGCCGCGAAACTGGGCATTAATGTGTAAATACCACCGACTGACGCTTACTTGTACCATCCTATCGCGAACAGACCAAGAATTTGTACCGCAGTACAGCTGCAGGTGGAGCCCCACCAAACGCACATCATGACGGACTGACGGCATCTATTGCGTTCAAGACGTAGTCTAACTATTTTCGGTAGGTACACATGTGTAGCAGCTGTTTGTATGTATACAGCAAATACTGCAGTTGAAATTGGCGTAGACTATCATATGATGATGAAATTGGTGCTGTCTACACAGTATCATTCATACACCAACATGCATCCGAACGGACACGTTCCCCTCAGGTAGGGTCGTGAACATTGAAAAACGATATCCCACACAGCAGTTTGGAGTGGGTGATTCAACCACGAGCAACCCGATCAGGGTACGGCACAATTAAGCCCGGGAAAACAGTAAACACCGTCCACGCGCCCGTAGACTCTAATATACTCTAGACTACAATAGACGCAGTATCCCTTGAAGCCCCGAAAAGAGTTGCGTACTGCAGTGGCTGCAGTAGAACAAAGGCGTATCTATCTCGTAACACAGACAACAAAGGAGCTCACCTGCTGCATTGGCGAATAACGTGTCGAACATGTCGCTCTTCGTCCGATGCTATCAGCAGCGGTAGAGGCGTAACGAAGTGCTCCAGCAAGGAGAGAGGGGTGACGGCGGGGGGGAGGGGGGCTAGAGGGCAATTGTTCTTTAAAAATGGAGAATGGCGTGCTTTCAGCAACAGTCCAGGGCACAAGCACCGGACACCAGACGCCCGACACACAACAAGCGGGTAGTGTCCACACGCACGGCAGTAGCGGCAACAGTAGCGGCAGCCATGCCGGCTGTCCACGGAGCAGGCGAGAGACTAGCTCTATTCGCTGGAGGAGCGCTTGCACTCGCACTCGTTCAGCTGCTCCAGGCCAGAAGAGAGGGTGGTGCGCCGGCCAACGAGGACCATGGCACAAGGGGACCCCACACACCCCATCCTCGTACATTCCTCGAGAAGCTCCTCGGTGCGAGTGACAGAACCAGCAGTATCGAGGTGTGTGTGCGCGTTGACCAGCACCCTCTTGTGATCTCTCGGAGAGAACCCGTGTGGCCGCTTTTGGTTAGCTCGCCTACTTGTACATGCCAAGAGCGCGCACGCACAGCAGCGATCGGTCTTGTGGGATGATGTACGCCTCGATGTGAGCCTCAAGTAACGCACTACCAGAAGTGCCGCCCTTGTTAGTAAAGTATCGGGAAATCAACGGGCTGCGCTGACGCATATACTGCCGACTTTCGCGACGTTACAATACAACACAGTGGTAACATTGAGTAGACGTGAGTCTTGCCTCCGTCGCCGTGTGTGACAAGTTGGCTCACCAGTTTGCATGCGTACTGTAGACTTTGAAAATTGAATGCGAACACTCAAGATAATCCTTTCTTACAGTTTTGAAAATTAAAGAAGGACCGCAACCCGAGACGAGACTGGTAGGGATAGTCGTACATGTTGTAAGCACTCAAAAGACGCCAGCTAGCGAAACAACAAGCACGGGATTGTCTTTGTTCTCCCTTCTTTGACGGGCTGCTTGAATAGGCTAGTGTGCAGGCCAACAATGACGAATGTATGTGCGTAATTTCGAAATGGCATTTCCCGTGTCTCGAACCTACGCTACACGCATATCCTGTGTGTTGACGTGCCCCGCTATGTAGTATGACACCTTTCGAGACTATCCCATTTGCCTTAAAAGGCGGGTGGATCCGATCTTCGCACATATACCGTAGGTGACACAAGATACCACACCCCCTGGACCGATTTTCAAAGCTTGATTTTCCACAGCAGATGAGTGGTAGTGCCGACAACGGCGTTGTGGAAGCCGCTTCGTCCAGATCTTTCCGAAAACGTATCGTTTCTTTTATGCGTCCTCTTCGTCGTGGAGTAACCGAGCTGAGAGAAGCGGTCCAGAGGGTGTGGTATCTTGTGTCACCTACGGTCGCACGCCCGAGCATGTGGGACACCCGCCATGGGCTATGGATCACGTGGAAACTTGCTCCTATTGACGGGTGCGACAGGAACAAGGCTGCGTAACACGACGTTTCCGCCAGGTGTTACGTGGTGGGACAAAGGCAACCCGGGAGATTTTAGTCGCAGCGCGTACCGACCAAGCAGGCAACTGTGTTCCTTCCGTGAAACCAAACGCGCCTCTATACCAGCTCCTTTGCGTTCAGGCGCCCAACCACACGGGCACCAACCCGTTCTTTGTTATTTTTTGCCTCCACGCCAACCCCAACTGGTAACGTCGACACTAACCTAGACTCCTTCCTTGACACCACAAACGCCCCGCCGTCGCAGGCGACGCCAACTGTACCGCGTGAAATTCCGCCCGAACTAGAAGAAGAGCTCTTCTCCCGGAACCGGTTTTTCTTCAAGGAGGGTTTTGATGCTATCAGGGGAGCGTTGGTTATTGTGGTTGGGCTCGGCGGGGTTGGGAGCCACGCGGCTCACATGCTGGTGAGCGGTTTTCACCCGCTGTTGTCCTCCGGATGGCGGGCGGTTGTGTACCTTCGCTCGGGATTTCGACCACATTTTGAGAGGGCGAATACAAACGGGTGTACCTGGTAGACAGATGCCGCCAACAAGAAAGATCCTACCAGTTTTTTTTCTCGCTCACCGGTCAGCTGTGTATTTTGCGCGATCGATGCTACGAAGAGAAACGCGCACACGCATACTAACACAAAAAACTGCGTTGCACATGCCGCAGGCCCAAGAGGTTCGACGGTTAACCCTTTTGAGTCTTCAGGCGTTCTCACTGATCATTGATTGATCATTTGCAAATGCTGGTGTGGTGGCAAGTCATGGAGTTGCCGCCCTGCAGCCCTTCGCGCCGTGTATTATCATGTCCATAGGTAGGTGTGTCAAGATTATTAGAACCTGCGCTAACCGGCTGACCAATGAAGAGACGTCAGTGACAGCGGGTAATATCAAGGTCTCGGGAATGGGGCCAATCAATGCCAAATCATGAATCTCTCAACGTATGTACATGAACGCGTGTGTGCATACATACATACATACATACATATGTGTTCTTTCGCAGCACCACACATACACTCGCCCGAACGTAGGAATCCACTGCTGCAAAGAGCAGAGGGCAGCAAAAGGGAGGGGTATTGGAAGCCCTGCCGAAGCCCAGATATCGAGGATATCGTGGTTCCCAACAATTTGAAAATCGTTCCCAAGATCCAGCAGTCATTGTGTCAGCAGCTACAACGAACGCTACAACAACACTACAACTGCTGTAGACAGTAAAACATATCAGCAACACATCCACACTGGTAGCGCCACACATACTACCCTCGCCCGAACCTAGGAAACCACGAGGTACAGGTGTGTGCTGGTGGATGTGTTGTTGTTTGAAAAACACAGGAGCTCTAGAGAGCTGGCAGGGCACATTCGGGGGGGACAGAGAACAGAGAAGTACAGAAGTACAAATACCAGCTATGGGTCTTCACTGATCATTTTGCCCTCTCTGGACTGATCATTTACAGTATACCGAGAATAGACTAGTTGAGGCAGCTAGACGACTGATCATTTCAAAGTCTACTCAGCTAACCTGCCCTACTGACCGCAGCGCGACCACCCATCAACCCTTCTACGACCCTGTCTGTGGCCACCACCCTGTCGCCGGCTTCCCTCATGGCCTACAGGTGGAGATAGCTGTTGCGTGTGCAGAAGTACACTGGTGTCTTTCTCTGCACTTCTCTCTCCCGCTCACTCTCGCTCTCATATTTTCTTCTTTGGCGCAAAAACAAATCTGACAGTCCAGGCTAGACCCAAAGGGGTTAAACACTCCAAGATGCTTGCAATATCTGGCTCGGGCTTGTCTCGCCTGCTTCGTTCGTGCGGTCCTGCTCCATCGGGAGAGGGGAACACGATCTGACCGTTTGAAAATACACTGCTTTCAAAACGTGGTTGCATATTCGCAGGTCCGGTCGGGCGTGAAGAGACTACGAGTGATCGACTTCGACCAAGTGTCGCTGTCTTCTCTCAACAGGCACGCCGTGGCCACTTGGGCAGATGTCGGCTTGCCCAAGGTGAAGTCTCGTGGCTTTGCGTACTCGTTCTTGCTGACCGCAGATTAGTTCGACGGGTTCTCGAATGTGGCGCTTGTTACCGCGAGGACGTTCGCCGTCGGCAAGCGCGACGAGTCCTCTAAATGCAGCTATCTTTCTATTGTTGACACAGAAGAAGGATAAAGCACGTGAACGGAATCGTGTCCCACCAATGCTACATTGCACGCTTCTTGTGATGTGAAGTTCTCGTAGGTAACAACGCACGAAAAGGCTTTTTACGCGCACGCCACCCTTTCGCAGAGTCATGTGCAGTGTCGTGAGGCACCCGCAGCGCGTGGGAGCGTGTTCGTTGCTTCGACCACTTCACCTCCCACACTTTAATTGCATTCAATTTCCCGCGTACCTGCGTGACACCACCGATCCCGCCATCATCATGCACGACATTTTGTGCTGAGAGCCTGGTCCCATAGACCACCGTTCCCCAAGCGCAGCATTCGATTACAAATTCCCCCCTGCGCAACTTCAACACCGCAGCAAAAACATTATTCCTCTTCTCCATGACGATTGGCGCAATCTACACCCAACAGCATGTAAAGTGAACGAAGACCCCCCGGTCCCGCTTCCCTCCGCGTCGCAAATACCTTCGCCGATCCGGGTAACGACCGCACCCCGAAGGCGCTAGTGCTGAAAGACCGGCTGCACGCGATCATCCCCAACGCCGAGATCGACGCGCGCGTGGGCATGTTCCGGAAGGAGGACGCGGACCCCCTGCTGGACATCTCCGATGCCGGAGTTCTCCCGGAGGAGTGTTTCGTGCTAGACTGCATCGACGACCTCGCCACGAAGGCTGAGCTGATCGCGCAGTGCTCGAAGAAGGGCCTGCGGGTGCTGTCGTCGATGGGAGCCGGGCTCAAGTCGGACCCGACGAGGCTGCACATAGCTAAGCTGGCGGACTGCTGCAAGGACAGGTTGGCCATGCGGGTGAGTTGGGGGGCGCGAGAGCGAGCGAGCGACGGAGCGATCTCTCGGAGGGTTTCGGGTGCTGTCCTACCCTACTGCGGCTTGACTGCAGCAGAGCGTAGCAGAGCGCAGCAGAGCGTAGCAGAGCGTACTGTACCAGAGTGCCGCCGAGCGCAGTGTCGAGGAAAGTTGTTAAGTTCCTTCACTACACGACGGCGGGAACACTCTGCAACTCGGTTGAGGGTTGGCGGCTGTTCCTACCCCCAGACCCTAGGGCAGGCTGTCAATCGAGTTATCCTATAGCCGTCGCCCTCCGACACTGCTCTTCTTGGGGTCGGACACCACTGTGTGGTGCGGTTACCATGGGAACCTATTGCAGCCGGCTGTTACCTCCTTTCCCTTTGCGTCTTCCTAATACAAGTCTTTTAGGTTGTTGATGTGAAGAACGTTTTATTGCAATCTTCGAGATTCAGCTGAGAAGATAATGTGTGTGAAGCAGAGAGAGAGAGAGCACGTGAGATAGGTAAACAGAGAGATACGAAAAGAGATGAGAGAGGGGGAACAGGTTAACCAAGAGAGTAAATGGTGCCTTGACGCGTTTTGCGAACCCCCCCCCTCCCCCCCCCCCTTCCCGTACCGCCTCCAGCTACGAGCGCAGCTGAAGAAGGCACACTCTCTGGACCCAGACACGGTCGAGTGCGTCTACTCTTCGGAAGAGCAGGTGACAGAGATGCTGCCTCTGTCCAAGGAACAAGAGAAGAATCCCGGGGATTTCGGCGTCGTGGATAATTTCAGGTGCGACACCTACAGTCTCTTGGTCGTAGCACGTAAAATCTTCGGCATGGCTAGTGAGCGCCGGAACTCGATCACGTCAGTCCTCGTCTCCTGATTTTGTCTGGAACTAGGCCTGTAGCTCAGGTAAACATCAAGTGTTGGATCATTTGTGTTCATCACTTTCTTTCTGCTGTAGTCATGATGAGGAGCACCGACTGCTAGATCGGTTTGTGTTCTGTGGTAGTTTCAAGGTTTGGGCTATTTTTTTATCATTGATACCCAACATCAAATCCAGGTTGGACAATAGAACGACTATCGCTTCCATTCTAGCCGTGATGCTACCCAGCCGCCGTCCTGACTGCCTTGGATGGGCGATGTGCGGGTACGCGGAGGGACTTCATGGCAGGGGGGAGGATTCAGTCGAGGATGCCCGTCTGTTTGGTTTGTATGTTGGCTTATGTCTATGCGTGCGTTTGTCGACCTGTAGCGTGTCCGACTGTTGGTCTCTGTTGATCTCTCTCTCTCTCTGGCTCTCCTCATCTTCCCGCCCCCCCCCCCCACCCCCCTTTTTTTTTCCCAAAAAAACTCTTTCTCTCTCTCTCTCTCCTTTTTAAAACCGGAAAAAAAAAAAAACCAAAAAAAAAAATTCCCAACCCAACCCCCCGGCAACTGGGGGGGGGAAAAAAAACAAAAAAAGCCCCTTTTTTGGGTCTTTAAAAAAAAAAACCCCCCCTTGGTTGGGGGCCTTTTTCCCGCCATTCCCCCCCCCAAAAAAAAGGGCCAAAAGCCCCCCGGGGTGGGGAAAAAACCCCCCAATTTCGGAAAAAAAAAGGGGCGGTTTGGGAATTAGGAAGGGGCCCACAGGGGCGGAACAAACGGGTTAAAGGAAACAAACTTAAAAATTTTTTTTTTTCAACGGGGTGCCAAAAACCCGGGTGGGGGAAATTTTGGGGA